GACAGTTGCCATTTGCATTCAGATACCTGATCCTTTCACTATGCTGAACAACACCAATTTTATAAAACTGGAATTATGTATTAATCACAGTTTGTTTTATTTCTGCATTTACTAACCAAAAGCTCACATCTTATCAGTCTCTAAAATAATTATTTTAAATGGCTATATAATACTATATCATAAGAATTGATATACTCTTATTTTCAGTTTTGAATGACAATTAAAAAACACTTTGTACAAACATGTTGCTCTGTCTCATTGATGTCTTTCTTATAAAAAAGTTTTTGAGTTTCTTATAAAAGAATCTTTGATCTAGTCTGTCTCTGATACAATGTTCCTGGGAATTATGCTCCATGTCAGAGCCTTTTCTCTAGTAGGTGCCACTCTGAAAGTGTTTTCTTACTTATATCATCATATGGGACTCCTACCTTGTACTAAGACTGTTGCTCAAATGTGATCGCACCAAAGAGACATGTCCCTGAGCACCTTTATAAAATGTCATGTCCATCACCTCCCAAATCATGCTTTATCCCTTTATCATGCACTGTATTTACTTTTAGCATGCAATAGTACTTAACATGTCTGTTTATTTGTTTATGTGTTTATTGCCTCCCTCCACCTCCTAAAATTTAAGGAAAATAACAGCAGAAATTCTGTCTGTTTTGTTAAACACTTTATCCCCAATATCTCAAACAGCACCCAGAGCACAATAAGTGATCATTGAATAGATAAAAACAAAGAAAAATGAAATTTGATACAGATAAACTAATTGCTTATTAGAAACTTCTTCCAGCTTTTATATTAATAAGTCCAGGATAGCCCACTTTAAATATTAATTTTAAAATTGTCAAATAATAGGAAAAATTTATACTGTAACCTCAATATTGCTTTAGTTTTCTTAAGTTTTTCCTTTGAATTATCTGTTCCTCTTTTTTACATTTTTCACTAAGATGTTTGTTTCTTTAAAGTACTATAAAAGGGCTTCAGTGTATTGTGTGTTGAAATTTACACATTTGTATAGACACTTTTCTCTTTTTCATAGAATGCTTTCAATTTTTTTAATGTTTCATGACATATTAGGTTTTAAAAAAATGTATAGAACAAATATTTAGAGATTTCTTCCAGAGAGCTCACCTATACTCCCAAGAAGACTTCCAACTTGTCTTCTTTCAAGGTTGTCATTACATCACTAATATAATTTTTCAGATTGTCATTTCTTATTTTTATTTCACTTTGTTTTTTTATATGCTTTTTTAAGTGTCTATTTCTATTTCTATTTTCTTGGAGCAGCTTTAGGTCATTTTCTCCTTTATGTATTATAAGGGTCTTGACTTCATGAATCCTATTTAAAATGCCTGTTTTTCACATATTTTAAGAGATGATGTACTCAGTTATTGCTCACCATTTGATAGTGTTTTTTCCCACTTTATCATTTTAATATAGCTCCAATTTTACATTTGTGTTCTATTTGCTTAATATTGAATTAGCTCAGATTTATCCAATGTCATGTTTACAGCCAGATGACGTCTGTTTTGTTTTGTTTTTTTCACTATCCACTTGCTGGTTGACACCCACTTATACTGGTTAAATCTCCTGGCTGTCACTCTAACTATATGACAGTTTGGTGTGTAGACCTTCCAGTTAGAGATCAGTAAGGTGGTCTCCTACATCCAAAAGCATGACGTTTCACAAGCATGAAAGTTGCATTCATAATGAGTCTCTCTCCACCATCCTCATACCTCTGCTCTCACTTACAATGCTTTAAATAAATTTGGGAGGATGTAATGAGTCACAGTTTAGTCCCTTCTCTCCCTTCCTACGTTCAGGAAGGTTAGTGCTACTAACACCCAAAGAGGAAGAGATGGTGCTTTGAAGACACTACTCTATGTCTTCCAAGTAGCAGCACCTGCTATTGACACCCAGTGAAATCATGGCAATCCAGGCTTTTGTTGGAAAATGTCAATGAACCTGAAGGCAGCCATTCAAGAAATATTGAAATACTTTCTTAACTTTCAAATGGATAAAACTAGTCTATCTACATGTATAGGCCACCTGTTGTTTTTTGCTTAATTCAACATTAGCCTTAGAAGAATGGTACAGAGATTGCTTTTATTAAGGTTAGCTTTTAGGATTATTCTTATATTTTTTTCTCTGTAGGTGTTTTAACTCAAAGTTAGCTAAGACCAACTTAGGATGGCAGACTGCTAATCAGGTGTCTTATAAAAGTTGAAGTTGGATAGTAATATTTTTAAGCCTGTCATTATAATTTATTTCTTCTTCCATCTAAAAATGACACATGGACAAAGCCAAAGGGGGTAGGATTAAGGGTGGGAGGTGGGGATGGCTGGGGTAGGGGGGAATGGTGAGGAGAAAATGAAGACAACAGTATTTGAACAACAATAAAAATAAATAAATTAATTAATTAATTAATTTAAAAATGACTATCCTAAAGCAATACAGATGAGTAGAGTAGGATGCATGATTGTAGGACAGCATTAGTGTGAGAAATGCCAGCACCACATAGTAAGTGGCCAAGATTTGTTATTATCTAATGCCTAGAAATTATGTCTTTACAACTTCATGTAGACATAATTGTATCCTATAATTTTGAATGGATTTTAAATTAATTGCAACATAATTTTAAATTATTTGCATATTTGTTATGTATTCTAACTTAAAATTTTGAAATCAACATTGTAGGGTTTTGGTAGTAAAATGATCAGAGCTATTGAGATTTTTTTCAAATTAAATGAATTTAACAAAAATGACCTACAGCATTTCACTTAACCTCCATTGCAGAAAAGTAGACTTTTCTTTCATACAATGGAGATGGAAACTGAGTGGGGTAAAACTGACAAACTAATTTCAGTAGTAAAAAGCTGGTGATCTTTCCAATGTGAGATACCAGTCTTTTGCAAAGGGGATTATTTTCATAACCTGTGTGTAATTCAGAAATGTCTGTGTTGGTTTTAGTCAACCGGCCATAAAAAATACATTATAGACTATGAAATCACCAAAGCTCTTTCAAATCCTGGTGAATGGTTTATGTGGGTTATTAGTGACCTTTCTGCATTTATCAGAATGTCTTTTGTTTTGTGGGTGCAGAAGTTCTGTTGCAGGAGGGACTAGCCCCTCGAGGTGTTTACATGTAGACTTCTAATAGAAAGCCGGTGGCCCTGTTGACTCCTAGAAGTTAGTTGTTAGTTTTGAATGAGAAAAAAAAAGAGCTTGGTTTTCATAGAAGAATGAAAATAGAGTGTAGAATGACATGCTGGCATCAAATCACAGAATTTCAAAACACTAGGTATCTTTCAAGGAGTAATTAGAATTCTTGATTTTCTACATATTTATTGACTAGAAAAACCAAAGTGCTTTTGCATAATGTGTGTTTTATGTTCCTGATATATACAATAGGCATGACGGAATCACTAAAAGCTGACAAGTCATTGTTATCAATTGACTCATTTTTTAAACTTATTTGGAGGCTATATCAACCACCTTTTCTAAATATGTCAATGATTCCTATTGCATTTTGGAAAAAGTGAAAAACCCTAATTTCTGCCCCATGTGAAATACTGCTTGCTGCTCCTGTACAGGGCTGCGCCAGACAATGCTGTGGCATCATCAAGTAAATTAGGGTGAGAAAATGTGGGTGTGGCAAATCTATCGCTGAAGAATGCTATTCATGGTGACTAATATCACTATAAAGCACGTGCTCCTGAATTGGGTTGTAGAATTCAAAGGAATAATTTGATTTGATAACAAAATTCCCTGGTAAGTCCGTGTCACTAACTTACTGATAATGATGGTGGCTATTATTTTTTAAAGTGTTTTTGAGGGATATGCAAACTTAATGTATGAAGTTGAAATAAACCTGTAGTTTCAAACAATTGCATTTCTCCTTAGTGTCACATGTATTTTCTATTATTTTGAACTCTTATTTTTTATATATTTTAAGAGAACAAGCATTTACCAAAAGTAGAGAACAAAAAGAAATTCTAGTTAAAGTAGCTATGAGAGAAATCATGACCTTAGTTAGATAGCATTTATTTTTGAAATAATTTAAAACAACTATTCCTGTACCTTAAAGTGGTATGATTTTGATTTCCTTAAGCATAGAGAACTTTATTTATAACAGTGTAACTTTACAGTTAAGTATAAAAAGTCAGTATTTTTTAAAACACCAAAACAAAACCTAAGAACCCAAGTGACTAAAAGACGTCTATATCTACACGATATATTAGTTATTCTGTCATTTCATTTTCTCAGCCAAAAATATAATATCAAAGAAATGCTTCACCTCTTCTTTCTAAATCCTGTTTGACCCAACATGGAAAAAAACATATTGTTTTAGACTTCCTGGTAGAAACAAAAATATCTTTAACTGAATTAAATAGCTGCTCCTGCGAAAAGAAACTTGGAATTTGTCTTTGCTCTATTTCACATCTGTGTCATATCTTCTATTAAAAATATTTCTTGATTTTTAGCGCCTGCTTGGTTTTGGTTATCTAAGCTGCAATAAGTAGCCTTGGGACCCCTGAAGGCACACCCCACACACTTACGCTGTGTGACCTCAGGTCACAAGTAATGGCTGCAAGCTAATTGATTGAGAAAGGCTTGTCTGGCGGGGCCTCGCTGCGTCCTCCCTTTACATTCCTAACTTCTGTGAAAGAGGCACTGGCTGGCTGCTCAGCCTAGCAAGGCAGGAAAAAAGAGAGGAAGTTTCTCGTTCTGATTACACTCCGAATTCCCTTGTAGTGAGCTTTCTTCTCTCCACCCACTTCTCACCAAGAAGTCCTTAACGTGAAGGTGAACAACTTAAAGCCTGATCCCAGAGAGTTAAGCGAAAAATGATTTGAGTATTTATTGAACTGAGAGAACAAATTACCTACTTCAGGCTGTGGGGAGCGTGTGGAAATTATATTAAAACTTCAGCAAAGTGCACAGCCGCATAATACAGAAGCCGGGACTCAGATTGACAGGCAAATAAGCCAGCTCGTGGAAGGGGCCTCTGGGTGGCAGCTCTGGGCTATTGGGTGTTGGACAACTATAGGCAAAACTGAAATGGAACAGGGGCAGAAAATAGCACACTTTTACGCTACGCAACCGTGGCTTTCGCATGGTGAGTGCAGATTTAAGATATTCTTTAAAATATACTCTCTATGTTGTGAAACAAGTAGAGAAATCTCTTGTGCTCTGAGGGAAATTATAGCAAGAGCCTTTCTTGTAAGTTCTAACAAGGCGGTTTGCTTTTGTTTCTGCTTGATTTCACATTAAACTTGGCAATGCTAACAGAGAAATACAATATTTATTAAAATTGTCCTTTTGCTTAGGCCATGCTTCTCTTTAACCTGAATAAATATTGTTTTAGGCAAATCGTGTGTGGAATAGATAATAAGGGAACAATGAACGGTGTGACAGGATATATGTAAACATTTCATTTAGTCCAACTTTGTGTCACTTCTCACGGCTTCGTGTTTGCTGCCTTATCTCAGAAATATATATATATAGCACAGTCTGTATGAAAAGGGCTTTGTGTGAGAATTCCTGTGAGTTGAAGGGTCAGGGCCTGTGTGTTATCTGACTGCCAGGGAGACTCAGTAGGGTGTCCTCTTATTTTTAACTTAAAATGGAAAAAAAAGGGCATCTATACCTATTAAAAAGTAAGTATGTTTTGATTTCAACAGTTGCCCTCTTAAAGTCTCTGTGTGTTGTTCCCAGCACAGGATCATTTATACCTCTTTTGAGAAGGAGCATGCAAACTTCTTTTGTTTCTTTTTGTCCTGTTTGCACACATTTCACTGTTGAAACTTTGCACACAATTTATTTTCTTAATTTTAGTTACCTTGAAAAATGACTGAGTAATTTCCAGGCAGATATTGCAGTGCAAATACCTAGAAGTTAGTAAGATTACTTTCCTGAGAGAAATGCTACCCCAGAGTGTAAATTGTGTTTAATTTCTCATATAACCATAAACGTGCTGTGTGTTAAAAAAAATCAAAACCTTCAGGAAGTGTTTCTAGAAATGTTGTAGAAGAGATTCTTCTGTGAAAACTGAAAATTTAGTATTACAGTTTCAATAGGTGACAAAATAATATTGTTGTCATTGACTTTATTTAAAAAGCAGTTTTCTTAACAAGGTGACTGCATTAGATGTTGCCCAATGAATGAGGTGAAAAATGTGTCTTCCACACTGCTTGATTTGCTATAATGCAGAGATCAGCATTTATTTAAACTTTTTAAAGAGCAGCTCTCTAATATAAATTTTGAATAATCACTTTAAAAATAAAACTGACAAAAGTAAGCTCCTCAGGTTTTGAGATTTATAGCTTCTGTTTGCTAAAGTAAATTAATAAATGGAAAAATATGTTGAAGTCATTGTGAAGTTATAAAACCTCACAATAAAGGAGAAAAGCTTTTAAAGAAAGAATAGATGTGTTTTTGCTTATGAGGTGATTTTGATGCATTACTTAGCTTTTCTTTTTCAAAGATTTATAGAAAACTATGATCTATTACAAAACTAGGTAACAGTCTTGACTTTAATACAAGAACCCTGTATAAGAAATTTAATTATTTTCGAGCTATTCCTATGATTTGATACAAGCTTCTTTTAGTAATTGCAAAACCCGACTGACAAATCCTTTTCTAGATGAGTTCATGTTCATCACCTGTTACGTGCCTTCTTTTTGTGCTCACGATCACATTTCCTAGCTGTTTGTCAATGCTGCAGGAAAGTGAAATGTTTTTTTGAGAGAGAAAATGTTAGTTTTCATTTGCATGAACCTTTTGAGGTTTTTAAAATTATGTTCTCATCAAAATCACCAAAGTGGTTTTAATAAGGTCTTTGGTACGATCTTAATATAACTAGTCAAGAAAGGAGATGTCACTTGTTTGGGTTTTTCTTTTAATATGTTTCATTAAGTCAAGTTATGGTGTGGCTGAGGGTTTTTGAAAGGCTTTGCCAAGAAATCTGCTTTTGAAAATTTCTCTCTTTGGTATCAAGATTGTAAAAAAAAAAAAAGAAGAAGAAGAAAAGAAACAAACGAAAATGTTTACCCCTTACTGATTCTCTCCAAACCAATCCAGAGACCAGAAATTAAAGGCAATTGCATTTTTTTCCCTCCTTTATAGCTAACCACAACTCAGGAAGTCACTTTGCTATAGTCAGGGGCTGCAAAAGAAATGGAGTTTGATGTAATGGAAGCATATAAGCAAAATAAAAAAGATTCACCACTTAGTTTTCCTAACATTTAATCTTAAACTACTATGTTCAGTCTTCTCCGTTAATATTTATTTATTGATTGGTTGTCGAGGTGAAGGCAGCTTTTGAAAACTTAAATCCACCTTAGCATCATTTTATAGCCATGGGTTTAAGAAAGTATATATGTTATATAAGGCTAGTTTTGCACAGAAGTTTAAATTTTTATTAGATTAATAGGAAACAACGGAAATATGTTCACAAATTAATTCTAGGGTTGTTCCCCAGAGCTATATATAAAACACATTGATGAGTCATTGTCATTTCCATAGGTTGCAATATTAAACCAGTTTAGTGTCTGTGTGAGTGTGTTTGCATTTTTGAGCTCACAAAGAGGGTGACAGAGTGGCCTGGACATGTGCTACGGTTATGACACTCTTTGACTTCCTTAATTCTCATGGTCACTAAATTTCGGTACTTTTTTGTAACCCTGTAGTAGTAGATATCTGTCCCAGTGAAATTATGCCTTCTTTATTGAGGAAAAATGTCATATTGGCTGTATTCTCATTTCAGTTCCATTGATCCATTTGTTTTTTAAGATGATATATTTTATTAAAATGTGGGGCTGAATCTATAGCATTAGATTCTATTGTCTCTGACAAATTACGAGTCCTCTAAAGGGTGTCTGGAGAGTGGCAGTATGCTTTGCATTACTCTTCTTACAACAAAAAGGGCATAGTGGTTGTTCATCTTTGTAGGAACTTTGATGTTAAGAATAACGTCTTTTGTAAATTATGAAAAGCTTAAGGATGTTCTTTTTAAAAGTTCTTCCTTTACTATTAACTCTAAGCTTTTATTTTCTGCAACATTATAAGAAATGCATGTTGATGCTCATAATATATCATACATATTCCTTAAATTCTCTTTCACACAAGTTTATACATTTTTCTGTGCTGCATTTTTTGGTGAATTACTCAGAATTATACTCAATTTACTAATTTGTGTTTTGACTATGTCCATTCCAGAATTTTTTTCGACTATATATGTTTTCCTGGGGATTCTAATGGATTCTTTTCTCACAGCCACTTTTATTGCTTCATCTCTACTTCTTTTCTTATAAATTATATTAATGTTATTTTTGACTTTGTCTCTTTAGGGATACTAACATGCTTACTTTTGAAATTCTGAAATTGATGTATTATTTTTATGTCATCTTGAATGATGTCATTGTCTGTTTTTTAAAAATTGGTGGTGATTTTTTTTGTATGACTTTACGTGTCCTGGACTTTTGGTTTTCAGGCCCAACTTGAGTGACAAGGATTTTCTACAAATCTTTCTCTCTCTTTGCTAACCACGCCCAGTGCAAGGGCCACAGAGCTGGCCCTTCATGCTCTCTACCCCAAGCTCGCAATCTCTGACCATGGAGACAGTCACAGACACCAAGTCAAAAGCAGTTTGTCCCACCTTCTGGCTGCCAGATTATGGCTGATGTTTCTGGCCTCTCGACATAAACAGCTCTATGTAAGCCGTGGCTCCAGGGGAATAGTCAGTTATTCAACTTTGTGTTATCTCAGATTTCAGTCAGTAAATCTGACACTGAGTTGCGCTGAGTTGCACTCCCTGTGGGCAAGGGTGGCACCCCAGTTATCTCACCGATTTAGGAAATCATTTGAAACCAGCAGCACACTGCAGCTCAATTTCTGTTTCTATTCTATCAGTGGTCCCCAGAAGTGTTCACTTTGTTGTTGATATCACTGTTACATTATCTTATTTAATATTCTATCAGTTATTGTTGTATGTTGAAAGCAAAGGCAAGAGGCTCAAACCATACTTATTGCAAGTCCGTCTTGGCAAGAGAGTTCCAAACCATGGATTTGAGGTCAGGAAACATGGGTTCACGTTCTGATTCCCTTATTTATTGTGTTAGGCAATGTCTTTAATTACTTAAATGTCTCCTTTCCTTCCCATCAAAAATATTGATGACAATGTTCATCTCATAAGGCTGTTCTAATCATTAAATGAGATGGTGTATGGAAAGTAGTTAGCCTGTACTTTGTAAAAGTGTGCAAATTTTATGGGAATACAAGCAAACAAAACCAAAACAAAACCATACAATACTACCAAATTTTTATGTCATGAATAAATGGTAATATAAGTGTAAACTACACTTTGTGTCTCCTGTATTCTGAATGACTACAACATTACAGTTTTTATTATCTGAAGCAAATTTCTAAAGATGAATGTCAAGTGCACTCGATTTCATGTCGAACAGGTAGGTAGGTGTTCTGTTATGTGATCCACATACCTTAGATGGTATAAATGAATAATTCAGAGACCTCAGCATAAAAAGAAAATCATTCTTCAAGTGATCTTTTTGATACAGTTACTTGAAATCCATGTGGCTTTAGCAGAGTAGAAGAGTGGAAGAGATAAGTGACATGGGAACAGGTTGTTCTTTCCACCTTGGCTTTTGTGACTTGCTCTTTTGGCTTGATTACATACATAACGGTTTCACCCTGGTGTGGATTTCTATGATAGTGAAAAAAAGGGAGGACAGGGTCTTTTGTGAGGGTTTTGGATGTTTTTGTTCTGTAGCTAATTTGTAATATAAGTATCTATTCAATATTCGTATCTTTTTAAAACATCCATTTAAACTAGTATTTACATTTAGAGTGTTGACATAGAGTGCATTTGACTGGGTAGGAAATTAAAGACTTGTGAAATAAAAAATTTCTGAAAGTTAAAGGTACTAAAAGATGGTGATGAAAGATGGGGATGGGGATGAAGCAACAACAAAAACTTAGAAATATTGTTCCAGTTTGAAAACAGAGAAAATAGGTCTCTAAGAAACTATGATGCTGTGTATAATGCACATGTTTTTGCCCAAATTTTTGAGGGAAAAATAAGGGTGCACATTATACATG